CGCCACTTAGTCAGTACCATAGGTACTCGCGCATAGAAGCGCATTAAGCAGAAAAACAAAACAAAAGATTACAAAGAAAAAACAAAAAACAAAACAAAACGAATAATTACCTAAAATGAAATTAAAGTATTTGGAGCGAAAAAGATTATTATATCTGCAGAAAAATTATTTATAAAAATATTATGTATAAAATATCTTTATAGTTGTTTGAAGTATATTTGAAAAAAAAAAATAAATATAATAAAATAAAATAAAAATAATAATAAACATAGATATTGTTTTATATATCTATTATTTAGTACGATTAGGTAAAATTTATGAATGTATGCTCATTGCATTTACATTTTCTTTGTAAAATACAACAAGATTTTCTGAGTATATATGTGTTATCGATATTACATTTATAAGTTTAAAAGGTCAATGTTTGTAAATAAATTCCTAATGCCTAATGCTTATAAATTTTATTAGAAATTCCAGTATTGTCTGATATCTATTTGATATTGTTCACGGAATTTTTAATTTCTTATATTATGTTACTTTGTAAAGTATACATTATATTCTGTGAGCTTAATCGTTACATTGTTAATTTATAAAAATAGACGGAACGTACTGCGCCTCGCATATACTTTCTTTATCTATTCTTTTTTAAAACGTTGAAATTTAGCTGGAGAATAAAGTTAATTGGGTCTAATGTATCATTATCTAGAGTAATAATAATAACTTAAAGTAGCATTTAATAACATTACCATCAATCATTCTTAGTATCGTAAATTTTAATAACGCAAAACAGTAATTGTTACGTAAATGTATCTCCGGTCTTTGTATTTTATATATTTTAAATGTACGAGTAAATAAATAAATTCTCGAGCGATTATCATCACTTCATGTAACCGAAAATTTCTTGTTTTGAAACGATATTTTATTTAATCCCGGCCATGAATAGTTTATGCACTATCATCGTTACTTGTAAGGTTTATTTTTAATATTTTACCTTTACTTTAATACTTTACCTTTTATAAGGTTTATTTTAACTTCTTTGTGCTCTGGAATCACTTTCATAATCACGTAAATATAATGATATGTCAATACTTATAGAGTTATACTAGAATTATTAATAATTATTGTAGTTACATGGGTCGTACTTATTTTTGAAAAGCTTTCCATTCGATCATTTATATTGATATTAGAACAAAAACTTTCACTTTGCTCACAACAGATTCTAGATCGTTTATTAATGTAGAATTTGATATGAATCTTCAACAATAAAAATACCAAGCTCTTACATAAATTTCCACTATGACAAATTATTGTTACAATGTATGTTTTATTAGTGAGCCAATATATGTTTCATTTATTATATAATATCTTCATTACTATTTTGGTTTATTAATAACAATAATATTATTTACACTTTCTTTAAATAGAAATAATTAAAAAAATTCTCTTTTTGTGGAAATATTGAAATTTACTCGTAAGAATTTTGATGAATTTTCAGTTTTGTACCGAAACTTCATTGCCAAACTGCATCTAGAATATTTACGTAAAAGTTCTGTTATAAAAGAAGATGACTGTACACTGAAGACATTTGAAACTTTTATCTTTAATTTACGTTCATTAATCCATGTGAAATACGTTCATATTTAAATAATCTAACAAAATAATAGATTAACTAACCCAAGCCCATTGCAAAGTAGTGAAAATTTCATAATTCACAATCAGAGAAATGAGAAATATAATTATTTATATAATAATACCATAATTTTCTACTCGTAAACAGATGCCGTAATAATTTTTCTACGAAGATTTTAGATTGATTATAGTCTAGGCATAGACATAGACGTTTTAAATAAAAGTTGATATTCATATATTTCGAGTAATATTACTAATCGTCAGTTCGTCAGTAGTTTTCAGATAATTGTAGTTTGAACATAATGTTTTAATTTAAAAAAGAGGATAGTAAATTTATACCGTTTCGACAGATAGTTTTTCATAAAATTTTTTATCAAAACAAGTACCAATTTTTTTTTTGTTCGCCCCCTATACCTCGCTTACTTGACTTGATTTTAAAACAATGAGCATTTAAATCATTATGTATATTGTGAATATTCAAACGAATGCAAAAAGATCGATGTTTAAGGGAACGTCACTACTGGTGTCATTCTCTCTCACTAATAAAGATTAAAGTAACACGATAAAAGCCTTTCGAAATTTAATTATAGAGCAGTGAAGAATTTACGTATTGTTATGTAAGTTTTTGAAGAACTGCGAAGGGTTCGTTATTTCACTCTTTTTATTAATGACTGCTCGTATAAAATATGAAAAAAGATAATGTGTTCGTTAGGATGTGTGAACAATCGCCAAAAAACAAAAAACAAAAGAAAAAACAAAAAAAAACAAAAAAAAAACAAACAAACAAACAAACAAACAAACAAAAAAAATTATACATGTCGTATAGAGGAGGCAACAGTTTTTAATAATTTATGACATAATATTGGCAATATTAATATTAATTCTCTTAATATATATACATGAAGTGAATTATCGAAAATTTCGTAAAGATAATAAAGATATTTATCATTGGATAAGCAATAATATCATGTCAATCCCTAATTAATGTAAAACCTTTATATCCATAAGGTGAATTAGTTCCTCAAAATCTGCAGAGGCTGGTTTTGATGGTTCTGATGGTTCTGATGGTTCTGATGTGGAAAAGCAATGGAAATTATAAAGAATTTGGTCGATACTATACTTAAATGTTAAGTAGATTTACGACGTTTCATAGAGCGAGTTTGATGGAGTGAATTTCTATTGGGAGTAGATCTTTTACTGCTGTGTGTATGTATACGACGACTGTTTTCAAAGTCACATTATGGTCACAAGGGAGACAAAAAGATGCTTAGCAATGGCTATCAATGCGGGCGAGCAATCGAATAATCATTCTTATGTGCCCGTAATCTCGAATATCTATTACGAATTATACGACAAATAAACAGAATTTCATTTGAAAATACTTGGTGCTTAAGATCCGAGAGTAAAGCATGCGGTGCGACTTTACGCATTGTCAACAGAATATTCAAGCCGTAACTTTATAATGCTCTTTTTGAAGGTAATTGGCAGTACTAATAGTAGGGGTGATCGCTACACAAAGAATCGCGTGCCCGACGGCTAGATTATCGCATTGGACGCGCAGAGACAATTATGGAGACTTTCTCCATAAGTTTTATCTCATTAGTGCGGGATGCGCGATCCCAGGCAGACGCGCTCAGCAATTAAAAATGGCGGATGCATTGGCGGCCGTTGGGCTTGGCATCGATACGGCAAGCTACCGCCAGCAGCACCGTCAATTCCGAGGACACCACGTCGAGATGTGCCGTGCACACGATTAAGCGTTCCCTCGCAAAAGCTGGAAGCGACGGAGGTAAGGTTATGCGCTAATCGTCCCGTGTTTCCTCGCCGCTAGCCAAGTGTCCAAGCGTGGGTGGTCCGCGTGGCTCATCTCCCTCTGCTTCCATTGTCCCGACAGTCGCTCGGCCCCACCTTTTCCTGCTCACTTAATTATAAGCGAATAAATAAACGGGTTAAAGGCTGAAACAGCTGCAGCGTCGCGGCGAAATTTCGTACGTCCGTCCTACGGGCTCGAGGAAAAAAACACCGAAAGTTCATAAGCCTGGATTAAGAAGAGTCGAATTTCAGAACCTGTAGGAGGATGCCTGGGAGAAGCAGCCTCTGGTGAAGGATTGCGAGTAGGATTGCGAGTAGGATTGCGAGGAGGATTGCGAGGAGGATCGCGAGAAGGCGTTCGCTAAAGGGAGGCAAGCCGATATTTTGTCGGTCCCATCCTATCCTCGGCATTGTCCCGAGTCCCCACGGGTGCGCGGTGCCGCGGGCGCGGACGCGATCCCTGGCATCGATCAAAATAAGAGGAGCGAGAACGTCAGTCTGCGGGATGAGGGCCTTCCTTCTCCTCCTCCTCCTCCTCCTCCTCCTTCTCGCCATCCTCCAAACACGAACGTTACGAGGTGCGTTTGGTTGGCCCGAGCTCCGCGGTCGGAAAGAGTCGAGGTCGGACCTTGCCTGCGTTCGCGACGCATGGGCCCGCGATAAGCCCTAGGCGACCATCCTCACAATGAAATTCGTGGTAGCGAGATGATAGGGCCGTTTCTCTAGGCCGCATTACTCGGCGCATTCGCCATGAGATCGGTGCACCGGATAGGGCCCCGGAGACAGCCAAGGAGGTCGTCGCAGTCGTGAATGCCGCGTGGCCGCCGCGGGATGCCCGGCGCTCCAATTATATCAACGACGAGCCAGGTCACAATTGCCGACCTCCAGTCCATGTGAATGGGGAATAAAGTAGCGCTGCTCGCGCTTGGACTCGCGGCGCGCGTTAGCGGGTTTACGGAAGCAAGCCGGTTTTAGCCTGGCTAATAGCATAGTAATGCTGGCTGATCTTTTCGGAATCCCGTAAGAGCATTAGCCGCTCGCACGTGAGCAAGTTAAATTGCTATGCTGCGGGGCGCCGTTGTCACCCCGAAGACGTCCGCGCGGTCGCCCCGGCGCCGATCCACGTACCTACCAACCAACCTAAACAACCTACCTACCTACCTACCTACCTACCTAACTAACTACCTAACTACCTACCTATCTACCTACCTATCTACCTACCTATCTACCTACCTACCTACCTACCTACCTAACTACCTAACTACCTAACTACCTAACTACCTAACTACCCACCTTCCTACCCACTCACCTACCTACCCACCTATCCATCTACCCACCTACCCACCTACCCACCTACCTACCGTACACCAACGCGCCAAACCCAACAACCCAAAAATCCAACAATCCAACAACGCAACAACTTATGGCAGGCTGACACGTAAATAAGCCAACGGGCGGACAATCAGGCAAACAGTCGGGCAAACAGTCAGGCAGGCATTCAGGCAAGCAGGAAAACAGGCACAGGAAGCGTCGCGAGAGTCAGACGGCGGTGGCGACCGCCGGCGGCGTCTCCCTTTGTCTCCACGGCCGGCGCTTGGCGAGCCATCGCTCGGCGCCGATTGGCGCCCCACTCCGATCCCCGACCACGGAGCCGCTCCCAGCACCGCCCGCTTCCGCTCGCGGATTCGCAGCCGCGACGGCCCCACTCGCGTGCCCGCGCCTGCCCTCCGTGGCGTCGCCTCCTCGGCAACGCGCCCCTCGCGCGCCCCTCGGCTGTCTGCTGCGGCGGCGCGGCAAGGAACGAGCTCGCGTCCACGGCAGCAGCAGCAGCAGCAACAGCAGCAGCGACTGGAGCACCGAGCGGCGTCGCCGGGAGCTTCTAAGCAGCGCGCGCCCTGCCTTCGACGGCGCGTCCGACCGGGCGGCTCCCGCCACAGGAACCAGGGTGAGTAGCCTCCGCCCCCTGCCCCGTGCGACCCGCACCGCGCAAGAATCGCGCTCGCCGAGAGTGAGTTATACGCGGTACTGCGAGATCGCTCGTACACGGCTCGTTCTCCTTCTCGTCCTGTTCGTCCAGCTCAGATGCGCCTCCTGCCCCCAGGTTGAGCCGGCTCCAGTTCATGTGGCCCAACAGCCTCGGCGGCGGTGGCGGTTGCGGCGGCGCCGCCGCCGCTACGGAACTCGGAGGTCTGGCAGCGGCCGCGGCCGCGGCCTCCAGCACCTCGGCCACGGATCTCTTCGGGCCGGCGGGCTTCGGGCCAGGAGCCGCTGGCCCCTACGGGCCCCTCAAGACCGGCCCCTACGTGGGCGCCTTGGGGATGCCTCCCATCGAAGCTCTACACTCCAGCATCGGCTATCCCGGCTGCGCGCCCGCCGGTGAGTCCTACTACTGTGAGTGACAATACATTCGTTTATACATACGGTTGAATGGGTGCGCGATTGGATGCACGCGTGTGCGTGCGTGCGTGCGCGCGTGCGTGCGTGCGTCATGAGATAAAGAGAGAGAAAAAGAGAGAAAAGAGAGAGAGAGAGAGTGAGAGAGAGAGAGAGAGAGAGAGAGTGAGTGCATGCGTGGGTGCGTGTGTAGATGGGTGTTGCGTGTGCGTTTGCCTGTACGTGTGCGTGTGCATGTGTGTGAAAGTGCTACATACGGCAGTTTTTGAGTTGGACACTCGATAATTCATGCTTCCGCGAGCAATCCACCCTCTGCCGAATGAATGCCCCCGCCCGGCCGCAAGACAAAGACGAGGCGAAAGTGCAGCGAACCCCAAGAGCCAAACTCGCACTCACGCTCTCTTCTTTTTCTTCTTATCCCGCGGTGTGTGTATGCCGAAGGCTCTTGCGCGATATATTGCTTTCGCGATGTTTGGGAGTAGTGAGTTGGAAACTCGGGGACTTACGGGCTGTTCACTTTTTTTGCTCGCGCGCGCGCGCGCGCCCACTACGTTTATTGAAACGTCGCTCGGCCTTTGTTTACACGTCAGAGTACACTAGAGGAGGCGACCCCCGCTTCTTCGGGAGCCGCGAAGCATCCCGCCAGCTTTATTGCTCTCATGGTCGACTTTTATTTATCCTGCAACCACGGGCTCTTTCGATATAAAGCCGCACTCCCGCCGCGAAACTTAAGCTCCTGGCCAATATACTTCGTTACTATGCTGCCGAACAACTTGTGTTTCTGCGATTCTAATAAGAGTGCCGTGCTTTCTTTATTTCCCGTAAAAATCAATTCAAATACCCTCTGCGGATGATTTTTATGTAAGTGCCGATCGATACGGTTGATGGTGTTTTAAGCAGCCGGTGAATTTCACCAATAACGTTATGAGGTAGAATGCTATTTGTCGCGTCGTATAAAATTTTTTCTTTGTTTTTTTTTTTGTTTTGTTTTGTTTAGTTTTTGTATCACACGGGCTCGTTTTATCAAACTGCAACATATTACGGGGAACAAGATTAAAATGCATAATTGGTTTGTTTTATAGACTTCGCAGATTGTTTTCTGGTAACTAATAGTCAGAGTCCATGGCCTATATCGTAAATCATTCGGAAGGACCCTAACTTGTGAGATAATTGCTGTTTAAGCAAAATATGTGAAATAGGACACCAGTGCTGTAAAACTTTGTAACTCGACCGCTTAGCGCTTTATAGTAATTCATACTTAAACAAAACAAAACAATAATAACCAAACAGAAAAAGAAAAAAGAAAAAGAAAGGGCAAAAGGTAGATAGAAGAAGAAATAAAAGAAGATGAAGAAATGGCATATTAATCAAGAAAGCACATTTTGTTTTAAACTTGGTGACAGTGGCGGAGTTACGGCTAACACTACCGTACTATAGATTTTCACCTAAAATTTGTTTGAACTTTTATTATTTTTGACGTGGTACGTTTCTTATCAATTCCTTTTATCTCTCTTTTCAACAAAATGTTATTTTTCTTAATATTTGAAGATTTTAAAGAAAATATCCTATAAATTTCCTCGCACGATGATCAATAAAATATTTCAATCTAATTAATGTCAAATATGGGTTACGTAAGCCAACATTAGGCTACATTTCACGATCACATTTCGTGCTTTTTCCATTTAAATACTTATTACACGTTCGATTTATTCGGTCGTTATAGTTTAATAAACATTCACTACAACACAATATATAATTTAATATTGCGATGCGATAATTGCATCAATAAAAATAAGCTTTATTATGGTTGTAAAGTTATGGAAAAGATAATCAATTTAGATATCAAAGGTTGTACTATTGTAGGTAAGAATTTGAATGCTACTAAATTTTCAAATTTTTTCTCTATTTATTTTTCTACTTATTTACTTATTTATTAAATTTAGACATTTCATTCGCGTTTTATTGCAGCTATTTCGCAGAAATAACTACGATATACAAAAAATTAGGAGATGTTGAAATATTTGAATGTGAAAATGACATTTAAGTAGTTAATAACCATACAGTTAATTTTTATACGCATATTAACGATGTTTGTTTGACATTTGTTTGTTTTATTATAGAGATCACAATAACTTTTAATATGTTTCTTTATATACGCAATAAAATTATGCATATAAAATTCAATAAAAGGTCATGTAAATTATTAAAATTATTTTACTTGTTATTTTCTTATTTAAAAGTTAGATTAATTTTTCATTTTAAATGCAATGCTTACTTGATTTTATTAAAATATTAGTATATTTCTTTAAAATAGTTCCTTCCTAATTTTAATAAAATATTATTGTCATCTTTTATAAAACGCACATTAGTTTAGAAAATTATAAATAATGAATACATACTGAATATTAATTTTTTAAATACAATTTAACATTTGGAATTATTACATTTTTCCATAATTTACACGTAAAACATAAGTGAAAAATTAATATCACCCAAATATAATAATTACATACATTTATATCCTTCATAGTATATGTACATTTTGCACTTAGAGGTTTCAATTTCCAATTATACATTCGAAATTATGTCTGTATTGTAGATATAACTTGTTCATGGATAATAGAATATTGAAAGGTCTAAAGGAAATATAAATTAAAATATAAGCAAAAATTGATGAAATGCTGTTACATAAATTGCATAAATCATTGCGATAACAACTCTGTCAATCATTCAATGTATTGACAGAAATTTTTACCTTAATCTTTTTTATCTCATTGAAACACAATTAAAAATGTCTTTCGTGAATATATTAAGTCAGCAGTCCTAATTAATATTTAAATTCCATATTAAAAATGAAAAATTAAGATTTTAAAATCCATGCAATACCTGTCAGGCCATAAATCAATCTGAAGGAAAACATAATAATTAGAATGGACAATAAAAGATTATCCTAATGCCATAGAGTTGTAAGAAAGAACTTATTCCTGTACTTAAGTCAAAAGATCATTAAATATTGATTAATAATTATGACAATTAAGTTCGATTATGGATTAAATTTATTGCTTTTTGAAATCAAACTATTTATCAACAGACATTTGAAGTCTCAAAACATATCCCAAAATTGCCTTTAATTTGTAAAACTATTGGTATAACTAAAGTCAGGTATGACAATAATAAGTATATTTATTATTAGGAGGTTATAGTTTTTGAAACTTAGTTAAATGTGATATGTTAATGTATGAGCAATTGTGTATGTTAACCACACGGGCGAATTAAAAACTTAAATATAATCCACATTTTGATAATAGTATAAACTTAATAAAGTATACAATTGCTTATTTTTTATTGATATAAATATCGTTTATACAGCTAGAAATATTTCTAGACTTTGTAGAGTAATTCTGTAATATATAAATAAACTGTTCTATCCATCAACGTATTGATTCAATTTCTAGATATATTGCAAGAATTTAGTTTTTTTAATTTATGAGATAAATTTCGACATAAAATCCTTTCGGACATAGTTCGAAAGATTTAAAAAATTCAAATTTACATAAAGAAATTAATCTATTATATATTATACATTTTAAAGTTTATCTAGATGAAGTAGATTTTATAAATTACATTATAAGGTTAAACTTATTAATTACAAGCGTCTGTAATTATATTTTTATTTCGGAATCTCAATACTTGGAATTAAGTTAATCATATGTAACTCGGGATACATTATGGAATCACTGGATTCGTATTCATAAATTATTTAAGCTCATACGAGTGTAATAATTTGATTCGGATTTTAAAGAATAACAATGCTGATGATTTTAGGAAAAAGTAGTGAAATTTCTGGTTTTATCGATGCAATTTGTTAACAAAACCATGCTAAAACATTCGTTGTAGATTAAAATATTCCTTAAATAAATTAGAAAAACATCATTAAAATATCATCTCTATTATACAAGACACGAATCATTTTGTCAATGATGAAAATGTCTAAATATTATCCGAACACGATGCGAAAATGTATGCCATAAAAACCTCAAAAAATGTTAAGGATTTAAAGAATTTTTTTTTTTTTTTTTTTTTTTTTTTTTTTTTATTTTTTTTCTTTAATATAAGTAAAGAGGATGTTCTTTGGTAGTATGGCATATTAAATGCTTTGTAAAGGTTCTGAAGTATTAATTTTCATTGCACATTATTATACTACATATTTTTTGCTTACATTCGGTTACTTTGTCCATAAAAAAATACAAAATGTATTAAAAAAAAATCGGATAGATTTAAAAAAGAACGTGCTCGCGCGCACAATTATAATATTTATCAGATTAATAGAAAAACCGATGATTGAAAGTAAATGTGAAATTGCAAATTAGAATTTAGAAATAGCTTGGATGGGGAAAATTATTTATGTAAAAAAGCTCGCATTCGTGTTCATCTACACAGTTAAAGCCGTTATTTCGCACCAAAGTACGCGTGCAGAGCGACGTATACGTGTGCGAATGTTGAGACGAAGTTAAATGCAGTCACACGTGCGAGCATACGTGTTCTCACACGTACATTATATAGATACATAAAATCAATAACATCACGTTCAAAAGCTTTTTCCTCTCGTTTTAAACCAGTACTGGAAAGAATTTTTTTTTTTGTATTTTAATTTTAATTTTTATTTTTTCATCCAAGGACTCTCAACTCGGAGAGTTGCAATTTCATAATCATCGCATGAATTGTATTTTAAATATAAACGAGGCATTTATCGGAATTTAGCTTTGTATTAACAAGACCGATGTAATGTAGAAAAGAGTATATATTTTTTACTTGGTGTAGCATATTTTTATAATAGCCCAAGTTTCTCGTTACTTCGATATTAGCGTTATTAAGATTTTCATAAGTATTAATGCCATTTTTATATAGAAGGAGTATAATATTTAACTTTTATATAGTTCTACTTTATAGTCGCATACCTACATACATCCATATACGAACACGCGCACTATTTATGTTACACATATATAGAGGTAGAGATATATGAAAATCGTATAGTGAAGTGTGGGTACATGGATTTATTAAAGTATTGATTAATGAAAATTAGCTTTACAAGTGCAATAAAAACAATAGTGCTTCCAGTAAAAGCTTGAGGTTGTATTGTGTTGAAAAAAAGTACAACATATAATCAATAATTATTTGTAATTCGTTCGTGAATTTTTTAGCTAATCGGTATTTTTATATTTAATTATAAGGTCAAAATCAAAATATTCCTTTTTATTAATACGCTTGGTTAATATCATATATATTTTTAAAAATATAAAGCTTGAATAACGACTATAAATTTCAATTTTAATTTAAGAGCCTAGAATTATGTTTACTCGTAAGAATATGTAGTGCGTATGTATACAAAATCTACGAGTTACATTGTGAAGAGGATTACGAATTCTAGTTGTCAAAGTCACCATCTGCTATTATAAAGTTTAAATTTGTTTTTTCTATATACGAATATATTGTATATCGCGATAAATTTTAAATCTTATTTAAATTTTCAATTTTGTATATTACATATATATATATATATATATATATATATATATGTATATATTTTTTAAGTATCATTCTTTAAAGCGAATATGTAGTAAAGCAGTTAGTTGGTTAGTTTGGAAATTATTATTGTTCAATATTATACTAATTATATTATTTAGCATAAAACGGATCATATAGTTTTCATTGGTAAAATCTTCTTTTTTTTTTTTTAAACAGCAAAATTGCAGGTTTCACATAATTTCTACATTGTTTATATTTTAACAAGCTCTTGAGTTTTAATTATACAAAATATTCAATTACCTATGCTATTGTTAATTGTATACACATGAATTCATAATTAATAGGCTTGTATCACCCCAATACGCCTACGAGAAGTTTCTGTACATACTCATGCACGTACTCCTCCTCCTCCTCCTCCACAAGTATATTGATACACGACGTTTGGATTGGTTTTGTAAATTGGAATAAAGAAGGAGTTTTAAGATCTAGTTAAGGGTAATATATTTGTCAAATAATAAATGTTAAACGGAGTTGAAAAGTATGTTTGAACAGTTTTAAAATCTTAAAACAATAACTTAGCAAGCCTTTAACCTTTGGAGTTGAGTATTCTTAGTAACCCGTATTCATAATGATTGTTTCCCAAATTCTAAATTTCACGCACCTAATCTTCAAGTTTGGAAAAACAATGGGGGGAAAGCGCCGGACAAAAGCTTCGTGCAGACACGTACAAATTTGGTTAGCTCCCAGTTCAAAAGAAATTTTTAGGATCTATTTTTCGGGAAAAGGATCACGGTTGGTATAACGAAGCAAAGTAGAAAGTTTGAGATGAAAACAGTTGTGGATTGTTCGAAGTAGCGGATTGTTTTGGCTAATCCGGCTAACGAGCACCGTGGAGAGAAAGAGAAGAAGATAAAGAGAGTGAACGAGTGCGCGCGTGCGTACGTGTCTGTCTGTCTGTCCGTCCGTCCGTCCGTTCGCCCGTCTGTCTATCTGTCTATCCGTCTGTGTGTCTAGCTCTCTGTCTGCCTGGTTGCAAGACTGTGTGCATGTTGGGGTGCGCGGGTGTGTGTAAGGTGACTGCGAATAAGAGAAGGAGAAAGAGAAAGAGAATGACGATGTTGGTCGGGTGGTATGTCATGTTGGGTGTACAGGTAATCCGCGGAAGCAGCGCCGTGAGCGGACGACCTTCACCCGTGCCCAGCTTGACGTCCTCGAGGGTCTCTTCTCCAAGACGAGGTACCCCGACATCTTCATGCGCGAGGAAGTGGCCTTGAAGATCAATTTGCCGGAGTCGCGAGTACAGGTAAGGGGGTGAGGTGGGATACGCGTAAGTAAGTGCGGGAGTATTTCGGGGGGAGGGTGGTGACGATGGGATGAGGTGAGTAAGAGGTGGCTGGGCTGTGCGACGGTTGTCGAGGGAGTGAGGGAGGGTTGGGAGGGTTGGGAGGGAGGGGGCGAGGTTGGGTAGCCGCGTGCGTCGCCCTCGTAAGGCACAGCAAGTCGCGAGTATCGAAGCCCTAGATGGGCGCTGCCAGGGGCTTTTCATTTATTTCTATTACCGCTTGGATCGACGAATTAGACGCTTGTTAGGGCTTCAATTTGTCAGCGCACGCGCGCCAAAGAGAGAGAGAGAAAGAAAGTGTGTGATCGGGGCG